ATGATTGGTAATGGTGTAATGTTAAAATAAATTTGAAGAAAAAGCATTAAGTACCATCAGAGAGGTACACATGAACTTCTGAAGCAATGTGAATGAATTCTTTTTTTTTTTTTTTCTTTTTGCTTTTCAGTGGCTGTCAGCCTATGTGGCTCTAGCGTCAGGCTTAAGATCAGCCTTTGGAACTGTCCCTTAAATACTTCCACCTCCTCCCACGGTAATACTAATAGAAAGTTAACGAGAATTCAGTCTTTTTTCCACAAGCGCTTACGCTTGTGCTCTACTTTCCTTGTAACAAAATAACCGCACAAACTCAGATGGTTGGAATCTGCCTGCACTATCGTTCTTTACACAGGATCTGACAGGGTCTAAATTAGAGCCACAGGACTAATGCCGTTTGGCAATTGGACACTTAAGTAGGCTCAAAAAGGCCATATTTTTCCACCTTTTCTCCTTTTATTCATCTTTTCTTGTGTTCCAAAAAAGGCCCATTATTCAAATGCATTTTCACAGGAATAAGCTTAATTAACAAGAAATAAAGCTATTTATTTTTAAAACCCCTGGGCGTGTAATGAGAATTGTACTGCACTGCATCCTTGGAACTATTTGTTTACCATATTTGATGGAAATTAACTTAAGATGAACGAGGTATGTCTTTTTTTCTTTTTTTTTTTTTTAGCAAGAATCTGATCAATGTTAAACTCCTGTTGGCATGTTCTCACACCTCAGCTAAATGTGAAAGGATAGACTATACAATACGGTACACTTTAAAAGAACACAAAAAGGAGGGGTGAGGGGGGACTAGCTCTTGTGCAGCCTTTGGCCACTAGCCACCTCCTAGAAGCCGGGAGGGGCCTCTGCTTTGGGCAGATGTATATGCATTATCCCAAAGGCTACCAACATTTTAATCATTTTCAAGCCTTCTTCAACCCGGAAATATCTGAAATGTTTTTTGTTCCTCTATTTTATGTACTTTTATTCTAGCAAAACTTTTAATCAAAACATTTTTTTCCCAAAGTGTTTTTATTCCTACACAAAATCAATGCTTTCATATAGTATAGTGTATCTTTAATGTTTCTTTTGAACGAAATAAGCAAGGTGTAAACATTTGGTGCAGCAAAAAGTCCTTTTGTTGTAATTGTATATTTAATCAAATGTAACTCCACAAGGAACTAATTCAGATCACTTGCATTTTTTCACACACATTTGAATTTAAATTTTGCTTTTGAATAAAATTTTTTTTTTTTTTAATAATGTCAGACCTTGTATGATAAGAATTATTATATTTCAAATTACTGTTAAAAAATAATAAAACTTCTTTTTTTCAATTTCAACATAATGTTTTATTACAGCTTTCAAGCTTACCTTTGCCCAGAATTATCTGGAATCTTTCTAAATCTTCCATTTTGCGCACTTTTATCCTTCTAGTATTTTTTTCAAGTTTTATTTATTGTACATTCAAAATTATAACATTTTACATTAATTGATATTAATGATAATTAATTGAATTAATTGATATTTATTTTGCATGTTTCTACAATACCTTTTAGTAGTTTTATTCTTTTATAAATTTCAAGGTTTGTTTCTAATTAGAAAGTATAACTTTAACAATGTTTTAAACTCATTTGAAGATTTTTTTCCTTTGTAAAAAAAAATGTCTTGTGTTAAAGTCAGCAAAATACTTGTCTTGCAGGTTAGGGATAAAAATTGAAAGTGCTGTGGAGAAGTGAAGAAAACTAGTTCCTCGAAGAATTTTTTAATACCTCCTGTAATGTGCATGGTTGATCATGAGTTTTAGCTTTTTAAAGTAAACTTAAGAATTAATGTAAACTTAATGGTTATTAATACATCAGGACACAATGCATTTAAAAAATGTATATCAAAAACAGTATGCACATCTTGTATACTGTTATGATAAAAGAAAAAAAAAAGAAAATTATATATACATATATATTATAGTGCTATAGATAAGGAGTAAAATATGTTACTTCATAGAGAATTACATAATTCTGATTATACAACTAATGCCCAAGTTATTTAAGAAATGTTTAGCAAGCAAGAAATGAATTTGTTTCTGCTGTATCAATAACACATCACAAATTGAAAGTATTTAGAACCACAAACTGTTTTTTGTGTACCTAGCTAGTTGTACACCTAAAGGTGCAAAATTTTATGCGTTTCAAGTATTTACAATTTGGTATTTGGAATAAAATTATTTGATGGGGCTTGAAAAAAATGCATTTATTGGATATAAATATCGCACAAAGGAAAATTTGTTGGTTGCTTCTGGTGTAATAATTTCCATCAATTCGATGTGAATGTATATTTAATAAACAAAGCTAATAGAAATAAGAATTTTTTTTACATTTTTTAATCACTTTTTCTACTAAATAAATTTAAAAGAACAGTTTAAATGCATTTTTGTATGTTTAAATTTAAAGAAAATGTATTACTTTTGAATTCCTTATCAATAGCAAAGTTTGTTTAAATGAAAGTTTGAAGATTTTTTTTTTTAATCATACTAATTTCCACATTTTTTTTCCTTTAACAGTTTTCCAGCTGGTACAGACAATGTTAAGTATAATTTATTTTGGTAAAGAGAAAATAGTTTTTCTTGTTATTCAGAGTTGGGGTTAAAATTCCACGTATTGTGGAAAAAACATGCCTTGCTGGGATCCTTTCTGTCATTCCTCTTGTAATGACCGTGCTGATAATGAGTAGTATGTTTGAGCTTTGTGAGGTAAATTTAAAGGTCATTATTACATCAGATTACAAAAACATGCTATTAGCACATGACTGAGGATATCCAATATCCAAGGTACACACACTCGTGTGTTTATATATATATATATATATATATATATATATATATATATATATATATATATATATCTATATCTCACACAGACCCATTTTTTTTAAGGATAGATAGTAAAATGGGTGTAAAATATTGTACTATAAATGCCCTATTGCTATACCCTAATGTGGGTATTCCTCTTGACAGTGTGTTATAGTAATAAGGATTACTCAACATTCACTTCATGCCATGAAAGAAATGGAAAATCTAATGTTAATTAAAGTCTATCAGGCAGCCACACTGAATATAGTTTTTCCTTTTTTATAAACAATAAATTAGCATGGATCAACAATGAATATATAATTAGAAAATGAACATATAGCAACATATGTGCTGAAACATATCTGTATGCCTGGAGGACAGAAAGTATTCAATTAGTTGCATATCTTGGAATATTTATGTTTTCCCTGTTGGAAGCAAATTAGGTATTTTAATGGAGCTTGAAAGATGCAGATATTGGATACTGACATTAAGTAGGAAAGTAATGACTAGTTGCAAATAACTTCATATTTACACTTTTAATCAGACCCGAAACTTGTTGCTAGGGCATGCATAATTTATAGAAAATGGTTATGAAAAAAAATATTTGCAATATTTGATGTAACTGCATATGTTACCTGTGGGGTAAAACATATGGTAAAGTTTTTCTTGTACCTTTGAGCTCTTGTAAGAGAAGTAGAAAAACTATGAGGCGCTCCTTTTGTTCAGTGCATAAAATTACAGGTTTTCACATTCTGAAACGCCCTTTTGTTCAGATATTAATTACGCTTCAAATCTTTTTTTCTGTCTTTGTTGAAAAAAAAAAAAAAAGTGTAGATTTGTGGCAAATCAGATACCACCACTGTGGGCAAGAAAACTTGAAAAACAGGGCAGTCCACTCATATCTTAATGTACATGGTAATTAAGCTATGCTAAGCAAACGTCTTGCTATGCTATCCTATGCAAAAGTATTAATTTACAGCTGACCAGACAGATAAAAAGAAAAAATATAAAATAAATAAAGCTAAAGTCTTGACCATTTTAAGTAGTGTATCTGATCTCAACACACCAGGCAAAAAGTTTGAGCATGACACCAATTATAAAAGTTACTCAGGTGTTTAAGCGTTGCATACTTCCCCATACCAATAATTAGTTACAGTGCACAATCAAAGAGGAAGACATAACATTGTGCTAGAGCCATTTTAATAGAATCATACATATTTGCCAGATCCAGAAATGAATAAAAAAAAGGTCTATGCATCATATATACTTCGGTAGATCTTCCTTCACATAGTCGAGAATAAATGCCAATGATTTTCCATAATCTAATAGGGTCAAATATTAATCAAAGTCTTTTTTTTTTTTAAGAAACTGATATTTTTCATCAGCCAGAATCCATGTTGTTTCAAATTTGAGGGAAAATATTTAAGAATAAACAAACTTTCTTTTCAGTTCAGCCACGGCAAAGACGCTCTTTTTGAATGATAAATAGGGTCTCTCTGAATTGGGAATGTTACTTAGAATCTATTGAATCACAGCAGAACTCCTTGTGTTTTGGAGTTCACAGTTGCATATAATACAGGAGATCACAGCTTTAAAGTCTAGCACAGATTAAAAAAAAAAAAACACAGATTTACCATTGATAGAAGACACACACTGATTGTCTTTTTTAAAAACTACATAATGACTCCTTATAAACATTATTTTGTTTTGTTTCTTTAAATAAAGTAGTGCATCTATGACAATCAGTAACGCACAAATTCACTCAGCCCTGAAATGTTCAGTGCCATCTAGTAGTCACGTGGCCATTCCATTGGTCAACCCAAAAGTTGGCTAACACTGGGCACCGCTCTGGGTGTAGACAAGCACCTGAGCTTGGACTTAAGTAACTGCCTGAGCTAGAATGGACTTCATTTCAAACTTTTATCCAACACTTTGCTAAAAACTATGGTGATCACAACTGTATCAAGACATAAATAGGTGTCTATTTTTTTTCTCCAAGACTTGAGAAGTTTGTTGAGATCCACTCCAGTACTTGCCAGCAAGGGGATTTGTGGACAAGAAAAACAATGTCTTTTATGTTCTTCAGCCAAAGACCTGGCGAGGATCTGGAATGTTCTAATGTATTTGTCACCAAGAAAAAGTTCCCCACTTGCTAAAATGGATTTCACAAAACCTGGAACTTCCAAGATGAGGTCTGGTCCTTATAATCCAAGCAGTCAGCATTGAAGTTTAGCTTCCAAGAGGCTGTTTGGTCTTTGTAATCCAAGCAATCAGCAGTGGAGTTGAAGCCCAAGCTTGAGGCTCCATAGGCTTGAGTGGACAATGAGGCTGGAGACTGGTTTAGGTGGCTGGTCACTGCATTGGTGCCCATTGGGCTTAGTGTAGCACCAGGTGCAGGGAGCTGATGATGCATAGGGGTCAAATAAGATCCACAGTCCATACCACCAAAGTAAGATGTTGATCCTGCATATCCTTGGCTGTAGCCTGAAGCCTGGGTGTATGTCATGGGATAGGATCTCTGCATACAAGAGGAGGATGTTGAAAGGGGATCAGAAAGGGGAGAGATGGAGGCAGGGCTCCAGATAGACACGGGAGCTGTACTGCTGGAGATCACTGGCACGGAGGTACTGCATGGAGGGGTGAACTGACCACTGGTACCACTCTCTGAGCTCACCTCCCTGGATGGAGAGGTCTTCTTCTTAGCAGGCCTGACTTTATTCTGACCTCCATTTTGCTGCTGTTGCTGCTGTTGACGGCATTTTGCACGACGATTTTTGAACCAAACCTTCGATCAAAAATAAAGTAATTTCATTAGAGATCTTTCTTAGGGCAGAGAGACAAACTTTGCACAGCTGAATCCATCTATAAGGAAATGTATGCATTGTGCCTCAGGTGACTGCAAATCTTTGCATTAAAAACTGAAGGATGTTTTCACTTTAAAATAGATTACACAGATCATCCTTTGAAAATATCAGGAAATAAATCAAGTGTCTGTGAACCACTCAATTATTAAAACATCTCTAGAAAATGGGGAATTTTGTCTCACCTGTACTCGGGACTCTGGTAGATTAATCTTTAAAGCCACCTCCTCTCTCATGAAGATGTCAGGATAACGAGTTTTGGCAAAAAGTGCTTCAAGGACATCAAGCTGTGCCCGGGTGAATGTGGTCCTCTCCCTCCTTTGCTTTCTGGGGGTAGCTGAAGACACAGCAAAGTGTCATTATATTAATATTACTCAAGTGTATTGAACATCAATTATAAATAAAAATAAGTATAAGCTTACATGAAAATTTTAAAAAATAAGTTGTGTCAGTTATAACTGAGCATCATATAATACCCACAATATACTTAAACTTTTAAAGCACCGTTTTCATTTTTCTAAGATTTGTTTTACACACTTTAGTGTCTCACTTACTATTTATATTAACAGTTACATTCATAAATAAATGTACTATTAATACCACCATATATTTAAGTAACAATTTAAATTACAAAACAATTCATACATAAAATAGGTGATTATACATAATTAATACACTCACAGGACTTACTAAAGTAGATATTTAAAAAAACAAAACCAAAACATAGAAATTAAACTCCGTACAGAGGATAGGTGAATTGTCAAACGGCTGTTATTACTGTAGAGTCCAAATGTGTGATTAAATTGATTATTAAGCCCAACACAGAAAATCTATAACAGTGTGGTGCAAATCTGTTCTAATAACCTCAAAAAGCTTCCTACATAGCTTAGATAACCAGGTTTAGTTAAAGTATTACTTACCAGGATATCCCACGGATGGATGTAACAGATCCATCCCAGAGGTGGTTAGGCTCAGTCCATTGACTGCATAAGGTGGTTGCTTGAGATAAGACATCATGCTAATGTTTTGGTGTGGAGGGCAAACGGCAAAGCAATCCGGAATCGTGGTGACTGGTTGATGCAGTCTGGGGCTCCTTGGCACAATCTTCCTTTCAAATCAATTTTTCTACAAGTCAATGGAAATTTGCTGATTAACAGAGTACTGGGGGGCAGGTCCTTTACCTATGGTGGCTTGTTAGTGTGTGAGGTTCACTAGTCAATTGCTCTTGCTCTTAAAGGACTCTGAGACCCCCAGCTGCCCTGTGGACCAAGGGGATGCTGACTAGATAAATGTGTCCAAAAAAAAAAAAAAAAAAAAAAAAGGAGTAACACCCCATGGCCATACAACACGCCTTCCTGCGAGACAAAACCAGGTGTTGAATTGCTTGCAACACGCACCCAAGTCTGTCCATTTGCATAAGATTCATTGGCTAACACTCCCTAATTGTCTCAAACAAAACTTGATTGGGGCCATTTGCAGAGACAAAGGACTCCTTGGCTAAATAAATAATGGGTGAAAACAAAAGCTTTTTTTTCACGAGAAACAAAGACACAATTCAGGAAACCAATCTCTGCTCAGTCTGCTTGGCTATTAGAAAATGCATTCATTTTAATTATCCCAGTGCATTTTGTTACAAGCACCATTTGGGGCAACCCTGTTTTTTTCCCTGCAGTAGCAACTTTGCAATACACAAAATCTAACTTGAGCAAGATCAATCTTTTCTGGCAGCCCCACCATCCATTTTCACCTAATTAGTAGATGTCCTAATTAGATTTGGAGGTAAGTGACTGATTCATTGGTGTCCTGAAAAATGTTTATACATGTAAAAAAAGGAAAAGTTAAACAGCTCTTTAAGTTTCAATTAAAAAACAATTATGGGCAGCAGACATTCTGAACTTGGATGGGTACACAGAGAGGCAAGGTAATATCATTACAAACTAAAATACACAACCTGTATTTCTCTGTTAACACCTTCTAAAAGAAAACATTTTCCAGTGCCAAAAGAGTAGGAAGTTTTCAATTTCAGGTGAGCAAGAAGTTAGTGTCATATCATATCTATAAAAAAATCAAAGTCATCTCTAAAGAGATTTAGCATTTTGGGGTAAACATCAAAGTTTCAATACAGTTGATTTATGGTATTTCTTCAAACCATATTTGACAATTCATGTGTAAATGTACAGATAACATTGATGGAAATTTTTATTTTAAAATTAGATAATTGTCAAATTACTGTTACAAAGCTTAGTAATATGCTTGAATAGTGATTATATATTTTAGATTTTTTATACGCAAACATATTTGATTTTACCATTCTGCTTTTGGATTACTGGCATAAATGTTAAAACTTTGACTTATTTTTTGATGAGTCATATTTCCTTTGGTCAACATACCAGTGCTAAAATTCAATTTAAATAATGCTGCGACAGATTTTCAGCATTTCATACACTTAAAAATACCAAATAGTGGTTAGATGCAAGACATCATAATAAATAACTTTTTACAAAATAAAAAGTAGTTTTTCATTAGAATACTCCTATAGTTTTGATTTTAATACCTATTAGGAAGAGCATTAAAATAATATAAACAAGGTGTTGAGAGAATATATATATATATATATATATATATATATATATAAAATCTAGGGACAGTTTCTATTAACTGGAACAAAGAAGTGTCTTTTTGCCCAAACTACCCCTCCTATTTAGTAAGTTCAGCAAACGGCTGCACAAGAACTATAGTCTGTCGTTATTTCCTCTTAACCAGTTGCTCTACGCCTGCTCAAGTAATAATTGCCTTGCCCAATAATTAATTATAATAAATGTTTTCATGATAAATTAACAAGATAATCTGAGTGGCACAAGTCCCCTAATTACACACAACGCCATGCTCAGCCCTGCAAAGCATTGGTGCTGATTAATTTTCTGCCTGATAGCCATAAAACAAAACACATATACACTAACGGGCCTTTTCGTAAAACAAGAAAAATAAATGATAAAAATCTCTATAGTGTAAGTATGTGGGACTTGACCACTATCAACCAATTATGAAGAGGGAGACAATTATTTTGCTACCGTTTTTTTGATTGTTTCCTTAATTACTGGCAAAAACTATATTACAGTCTATAATTGGTGTCGTTTCTTTTTGTTGTTTTTGCATTACATTGTAGCAATATTGAAATTTTTTTTTGTTATGCTAATAGGCAATGTGTACTAACTTTTAACTGCATAGATGGTAATAATCAACAATTATGCATCAATCAGAAGCATAAATAATTTAAAACTCAGTATGTTCAGCTTTAGTGCCTGAACATTTTAGCAAATGAAACTGAAAGCTATTTCCAAAAACTATTTCATGGACTTTGTGTATGTTGTGTTCAATTTTCTTCAAATATTTATAATGAACCAGCCATTTTAAAGCCATATATATATATATATATATATATATATATATATATATATATATATATATATTATATATAAAACATGTTTTTGATTTTTGCTTAATTGTCAATAAACAGGAAGTAATTGGTTTTGTGATTATTCTGGTTTCAAAACAAACATTATGCTAACATTATATTGTAGCACTTTGTGTGTAATTATGTGTTGTTTAATTAACTCACAACATCTGCTGTTACAGGTAACATCTGTTAGTGGTGTACATTCAAATCTATCAATCTTTGTTATAATAATTCATCAAAATTTTTAACAGGAGTAAAAAAAAGAAAAAGAAAAAGAAAAAAAAAAAGAAGAACTATGCACTGCACAGTAACAAATAAACTATTTAAGTTTTTTTTGTACCATTGGACTTTGTCATGAGTTTGTTGCCCCTGGACAAATCTGTTTCTAAGAATGACTTTTCTGGTTTAACCAATTAAACAGAGTCTGGAAAGAAATCTTTTTGTCAATAATTGAGAGTCTAATGTTTTAATGGCATTTATTTTTTCATCAAAATAATCCGTTTGTCAACAGGGGAACACTATGAATTTTCGACACCCCAGTCTTATTTTTTTTAAACATCCCTTGTGCCCCTGTAAAAAAAAAAAAAAAAAAAAAAAAAAAATCACCCTTCAATTCACAGTGAATAAAGAGAGAGGGAGAGAGGACAGGGGAAGGAACTCCCCGCCTCCTCAATTATCTGGTTAGTACTGTTTGTGTTTTTCCTGAATGAAGACACTGATTTTAGTTTATTTAAAAATAAAAGGCATTCCGTTAGCTTAAATGCCTATTCTGTATTGTTTTAGGCACTTTTGGAGATGTTGCATCAAGCCATCGAAATGCATTGTTCTAAATGACAAAAGCAGCCAGCTATTTATTGTATACATACACAAATTTTGTGCTGGGCTCCTACTGGCTCTATATGAGCTATTCCTTTGTTAATTAAGCTAATAGCTCAACAACTTGCAGCTTGTTGGGTAACAGCAGCTACCTTTCGTTTTGGGATAAGCCTGACTGGTAATCAGTACATAGTCATCAGCACATATATAATCAGCAACAATATCATGCTAGTAATAAAAAAAAATGGTTTCAAAAGACTTACCTTGGATGGTCAACAAATGATTGGCTAGGGTTGTTGGTCTTTATCCTGAAATAAAATTGAAACAAGTAGGTTATAGGGAAAAAAGTGACTCCTCAGCCTTCCTGGGATGACTAGGAGCAACCAAGGAGCTTAAAGATGTGATATCCCTCTTCAGTCACATACAAAGGGGTAGCAGGAGGAGGATCTTGTGCTAGACTTGCAAAATACTCGAGTCTTGCTTAGAGCTCAAGGTCTGTCCCTCTCTTGTGAACATTTGCAGACAAGGCACCTCACTGGCAACTTTTTGACGCAAACTCTCCAGCCAATGGCAGAAGGGACGTGATTGACACTTCTAAGCCAGAGGGAGAAAAAAATTATGGAAGGAATAAAAAAAAACCCACAACGCACAACAGGGGGAGGGAAGCAGGCCACTGTTGCTCCCGAAGGACAATCAGGCAACAAATAACAGCTCCAATGACACTATATATACCAAGCAAGCGTTTATGCAGCTACTGATTGTGGTTAAATTTACATACATGCACCTGCGTGCATGTGTGTCTGTATGTATGTATATATATATATATATATATATATATATATATATACACACACACATATACACACATACATATACACATATATATATACATACACACACATTTTTATCTTTTTAATTACTATGATGATTACATGATTCTGTAGCATATATTTTCTAAATAACCGAATAACTGACATATATGCAGTGAATACCTGCTATATAAAACATTTTGCTATGCTATGTCTTAAACTAAATATTTCTAACATTGTTTTAGTTTAACAATTTAAAAAATATAATCAACCACAGCATAAGCAAGATCAGGATTACAGAATGATATCTGAAGGAGTTAAACTTGCAGCAACAGTGTTTACAACAGTGTCTCCACTTTGATTTTGGCTTGCTTGTCAGCAGTGCATGTTTCCTACTTTTTCAGGTAGAAGCACAGCTAACATTATTAGTAACATCTTTGAATAAGAACTCTAGCTATTTTACCTGTTATTCTATGAATAAATCTGGAAAACCTGTACTGTTGAGGGTGGTATTAATTAACCAAATCAAGATGCACCAGTTTATCAATTTTGGATTTTATAAAATGTAGAATTATGTTTCCTTCTGAATTACATTACAGATTTACAAAGGAATAATAAAAACATTGTAGGAAAAATATTATATATATATATATATATTTATATTAAGAAATCATGAACAGAACACATAATTTTTTAGAAATGCGCAATAAAAAAAGTACACATTTAAATTTTTTGGAGAAATATACGGTAGCAAAGTACAATATGAGCAGCAAAAATTTTTCTTAAAAACATAGAATTTTAGAGCTTCTTTGTATTACAGGAAAATGTTTGCGCATCCTAGAAAAACGAACACCACATGCAGGAAAAGTGATGTTTAGGGGAGATATAACCACCTCTGGATAAACAATAGGAGATCTGCGGTTTTGGGATCAGCC